CATCACTTAGTAGACGAACTTAAATGTGCCTTTTCTACATAAAACATCACTTAGTAGACGTACTCTGACATGCCTTCTCTACATAAAATAACACTTAGAATACGCACCTTAACATGCTTTTTGTACCTAAAATGTCACTTAGTAGATGATATTAAACATGTCTCCTCTACCTAGTCTATCACTAACCGTAGTATGAATGGAATGTGAGCTGGTTTTGATCAGGAAATATCTGTAATACTATGAGACCTGACGTAATTGTATGGGTATGTTTGACTAGATAGTATTACTAAATCTAAAAGTACACACATACATAAAAACGTAGGGGAAAAAACAGTCACGAGGCTAGGATGTATGTTTTATTTGCTTTTGTGGTTTGGTACAGAGATATTTGTGGAAGATAGAAGCCCTCGTACGAGTTTCTGATGCTGTTACAAGTGGTAGGTGGTTCATAGAGATAGTTTATTAATCAGAATGATAAGTTGTGATGGTGCAACTCGTAGAATAAAATGGTTTGTCTTGGTTCATAGGCCCAAAACTCGTTTTGTTTATCATTAATTATTAGGAAGGTGTTAAAGCATAGAAAAAAGTTATTTTCATGGTAATCAAGACAAACGGATGTTTTAAGTTTATTTTCATAAAGTTTTTAAACATTGTTTAGGGATTAATGTTCTTCCTTCAAAGAGGTACGTTATTTTGCTGACCAGATTTATTCATCCTTGAAACCGCAAAAGTCTCTCCTTTTCGAATTCTATTTTGGTATATTCTCAAGAGGTGCAAAGTTTTCTGCGTTGTTATTCTCGCCCGGCATGGCCAGGTGGTTAGGGCGATCGACTTGCAATCTGAGAGTCGCGGGTTCGAATCCCCGTCACACCAAACATGCTCGCCCTTTCAGCCGTGGGGGCGTTATCATGTGACGGTCAATCCCACTATTCGTTGGTAAAAGAGTAGCCCAAGAGTTGGCGGTGGGTGGTGAAGACTACCTGCCTTCCCTTTAGTCTTACACTGCTAAATTAGGGACGGCTAGCGCAGCTATCCCTTGTGTAGCTTTGCGCGAAATACAAAACAAACAAACAAACAATTGTTATTCTCCCTAACTCTAAGTAATATTAGCCTCATAAACACTTGTTAAATGTATTATGTTATTCTTTCTGTTATGACTGTTCTGGTGATTTGGACTGGTAAATGGAAAAAGTTTCTTTCATGTTCTTACTTTATGACCTAGTTTTAGTATATGATGTGTGCAACTTGAAAGGCACTTTATGCGATATATGGCCTGGACTGCTGGGTGAGAAAACCCTAGGTCCGGGAATAGAGGGAGGGCAACTAGTCAACAGTACCTGGAACCTAGACTGATACTTTCTGTCGAAGAGCAGCGTGACTGACTGGCAGCTGTGAGTACGGAGCGTGTTCAGAGTCATATCGGGGGCTCAAACCTCGGGCCTACAACATAATTTTTATTGCCAGATTACTTTGTGGGAGAAAATTTTAGTAGGACTTAAAGTATTGATAAATCTAATAATCTTTGACGTCATTCTTTCAGGTGGGAATCTCCTCATCATTGTTTTGCTGTTGTGAAATCAGGACGTCTGTACATTTCGAAGTCACCAGCTTATAAGTTAATCATGGATACTTTTGTTTACTATAGCACATTAATAACTTTCACTGCATCATTACATCCATTTAAACTCCACAAAAAGTTTGTTACAAATTATAAAGTAGAGCTTTGGAACATTCTATGCCTGGGTGAAATTTTGATGCATTTTGATAAATTTATAAAGTTAAGCATTTTTAATTTGGGCAAATATTGGTAAACTACAAGGTTTTTAAAACAATAATATCTTAACAACTGTCTTTTCTAATGGAACAAAATTAGCCTAGACACACATTAAGACTCATAAGTTTTACTCGGGAAAAATTTGGGCATGTTAGATTGCATATTTAAATCGCTTTTCTCGCAAACTAGCGTTGTTTTTATTTATTTTCTTTCTCCTATACGAGATTGGTGATTTGAGCATCTTCATTTAAGAGATACTGATTGAAAATGTAGGAGAGAATATTGAAAACCTTGTGTGACAGCTTTTTTTACCATATCCAAGCTATTTGGAGTAAAACGTATGATTCTCAATGTGCTTCTGGTGGAATCTAGTTTCCATAGGGTAAGCTGTTTTCAAGATATTTTTCGTGTGAGAAACTTTATAAAAAAAACAAAGCGAGTGGGATGTAAAATGATTTAGACTGAATAAAATCATACGTGTATGTATATTAGAAATAGGCTCACGTGTTTCGACTGATCGATGATAACCCTGATTTTACATTTCTGTCTCGAAGGTACCACAGGAACAGAAAAAAAAGAAGACACGGAACTTGGAGTGAAGGAAAATTATAAAAAAGAAAATCACTACATTAAGTTTAAACAGAGAAGGACTTGAAACTACCTAATATCTATTTTTTTTTCTGAACGTTCCTACATTTTCCGCTTTTGTCCTCTTCATGCAATACATACACACACACACACACATATATATATATATGAATATTTGGTTATTCTAACTAGCAGCCCATTGTAAAATCTGAGATCATGTGGTACCGCCATGCAAGAACAAGCTATACTCCCAATATGTTGGTGCATAGTTAACTTTCTTTGTAATGTTTTAGCTAAGTTTAATATTCTATAACATTTTCTGTTATTCGTCCTAGTAATGTTTTAACTTCAACATTTTACCCTAGCAAATTAACATTATACTTTACATACATAAGATATACTATTTTCTATCATATTTAGTATAATGAGCCCCCCAGTGGCACAGCGGTATGTCTGCGGATTTACAACGCTAGAAACCGGGTTTCGATACCTGTGGTGGGCAGAGCACAGCTAGCCCATTGTGTAGCTTTGTGCTTAACTTCAAACACAAATAGTATAATAAATAAACTCAGTATTCCGATTTTTTTTTAATCTCGAAGTTCAAGGGAGGTCCAGTTCAATCTACACTTTGATCAACGATTCTGGGATGTCCTTTCCACCCCTTTTCTGGTGCACCTCCCTCTCTCTTTAATACTGCCTCTGTTTCTTCTCACCAGATTTTCGTAGGTCTGCCTCTCTTTGTGGGTTCCGCATCACAAACTGCCGGGTGATGTTGGATGTCGCCTTTCTTAGATTAAGCCTTATCTAACACATCCAGTTACGTTGCATTTGCTGTCCAATAGGCTCTTGGTGAGTTCTATCCCATAGATCTTTATTCCTGACTTTTTCATTCCATCAGGTGTTTAGAATTCTACGCAAGCAGTTGTTCGCATATGTCTAGAATTTGTACAGAATTGTTCTTGTCATCCTCCGTGTTTCTCATATGTACAAGAGCACAGATTTCACATTGGAATGGAAAATCCTCGTTTTTGTAGCAGTTGTAATTTCTGTGGAATCCCAGATGTTTCTTCAAGTCAAGTAAACTGCTCTCGCTTTGTTGATTCTGTCCTTGATTTCTGTTTCTATGCCGCTCTTCTTGTCAATGACACTGCCTAGGTAGGTAAAGGCGTTCACTTCTTCCAAAGGTTCTCCTCCCAAAAAAATTGAGCTGTTGTACTTTATTAGCTTGGTTTTGCCTTTATTGATGTGCAGTCCTAATTTCCCTGAGTGTTTCCAAGGTGGTAGTTTTATCCTGCATTTGGCTGTGTTAAAGAAGTGCCAGATCGTCGGCAAGCTGCAAATCATCCAGCTGGGCTAGCATATTCCACTGTATCCCTTATATTTTCCCTTGTGTTGTTGTCCTCACGATCCAGTTTATTGCAAACAGGAAAAGGAAAGGTGATAGAAGACATTATTGAATAGTTGGAGTCAACCTAACCCACACATCTTTTTTACAATGTGTCTTAGTGATGTAAGCGACGTAAATGTGAGTATTTCCTCATATTTGTATTTAATCGGTAAGGAATGCACATGGCGAAAGAGGAAATATTGGAAAATGTGAGGATACGCTCATCTAACCTGAAGGAAGGAAACATCGAAGAAATTCTGATTCGTCTTAGATCATAAGTGGCAGAACCTGTTTTTCCTTCGAAGACAAATGTTTGTCATAATTAGTTCTTTCTTTCTCTCTAGTTTGAAATGTATGTACTTTGAATAATGGTTACGGTGTTTGCCAGTTTTATATTGTACGGCGTATCTTAGATCATAAGTGGCAGAACCTGTTTTTCATTCGAAGACAAATGTTTGGCATAATTAGTTCTTTCTTTCTTTCTAGTTTGAAATGTATGTACTTTGAATAATGGTTACGGTGTTTGCCAGTTTTATATTGTACGGCGTATCTTAGAGGTAAGAAGATCTTGATCGTTTAATTCAGTTCTTTTCACTGGTCTAGATTTTATTTCCTACTGCTTATCGAAATAACGATTTCCTGACAGGTATCCGTGTACACATTAACGCTGGTATTGTGTGTATATATGATAGTTTTAAATAGACTGGAGTCTTTTTGAACGAGTGACAGTGAATCACTTGTATATGATAGTTTTAAATAGACTGGAGTCTTTTTGAACGAGTGACAGTGAATCACTTGTATATGATAGTTTTAAATAGACTGGAGTCTTTTTGAACGAGTGACAGTGAATCACTTGTATATGATAGTTTTAAATAGACTGGAGTCTTTTTGAACGAGTGACAGTGAATCACTTGCAAAGAAACATTTCATTTAAAATATCACATGTCGCTTTCAACATTTACCGTGAAGGCACAGAAAGTTTTGCATTGAATAGAGCGGGCGAATGTTATGTTCCTTTATTTACCCTTGATTGATCACCAATGAACAGTCCTCTTCTCTGTAGATGTTACAGAAACATTATTTACGAAGTTAAATTCTATCATTCGTGTTTTTTTTTATCATTTTGAAACTAAGTAAAAGTAAGCAGCTTTTGTGAAACGCGGTTTTTGCTAGACATGAATACGTTTAGTGATTTCTTTCGGCATGTCATTTATTTGCGATAATGCGATGTTTCTTGATAAAATATTGCTTTTTGTGTAGCATAGATTGAATAGAAAGCTTTAGCGGGATTTTTCAAAAATCAATTTTTTATAGTGTCTGGTAAACAGTTAAGGGTTACTAATTCAGTTCCATGCGAATGCTTGTTTCCGTTTATGAAAGGATATATAAAAAAGAAGTCAAACCAGTCTCTCTTTAAATTTAAATTTCACACTCATCACATTGTCTTTGTTTTTTTATTTAGAGTGTATTAGCCCCTGTTAGCATTACAGTAGTTTGGACTAAACTGATTTACAAATCCAACGTAAGTGGATACGAAAACGTTTAAAAAAGTGCTTCTACGATATACCCGGAGGTCCTGATCCAATGACATAGCTACTAGAACAAAACGGAGACGCATGCGCAATTTTCACATTAGATCTGTCGTGATGTTCAGCTATGTAAACATACTTACGCATTGAACCTGCGTGTAAGTTAGTTATCCATAAGTGTTTTGATTTTTGTCTGATTATTTTCCATTTCATTTATAATTATTTGTTGATGGGTTAACCTGATAGGAAGAATATAATGAGTTCACTTTAATTATAAATACTAGTACATATATATTTATATATATACATGCACAAACACACACATAGGCTTTTAAACCAGTCCAATAAGATGAAGTGTTCTACTCAGAAACTACACAATATTTAACGTGCATGTAATAGATGAGTCGGAATGTGTAGAACTTTGTTGTGAAACCTGAAGTATCAACAATGCTACAGTGTGCTACAATCCTTTAACAGAACAAAGAAAATCGTGTATTTTACTGGCTATTCTCTGTTTTAATTGCTCGAACGGGTTTTATCACGCAATTTGAAGATTATTAAGTGTGATTGTTCAAGCAGAAGTTAAACATGCAGTACAGCGAAACATGTCTGGGGTGGATCATGTGTGCATTGAATGACATTTTAATAATAATGAAAAAAGTAATTAAGTCCTAGGTAAAACGTTGGGATCATTTGGACAAATTATGGCAAGTTATAAGAATATTTTTCCTAAAATTTCTTATTATTTCTGAAGCTGTGTCTTACTATAGCTTCAATCAAAATATACCTTATTAACATTATGTGGAAATATAAATTAAATATTTTAACTTTCATGTGTCTAACATCAACCCATACTTAGATAAACAGTCTATTTTTGATATTTATTTTTGTTACATAGGATTGGTCGTGGCGATTTTTATCCCAATAAAAAAAAACATAAATAACGTACCAATAAAAATAATTATGCTCTATTTCATGTTACTTTTTATAATAATTTTTCTGCCACAAATGCATTTGATAAAGGCGATGGACATTTTGAACATTTGTAAAGTTAAGGTTGGTTGTGTTACTTGTATACACTTTCGTTTTAGGGTATTCGGTACGTCCTACTCTGTATTTTGTTTGTTTGTAATTAAGCACAAAGCTACACAATGGGCTATCTGAGCTCTGCCCATCACGGGTATCGGAACCCGGACTCTAGCGTTGTAAGTCCGCAGACACGCCGCTGTGCCACTGGGGGCTACTCTGTACTTATGTAGTGTGGTTTAAGAGGAGACTCGTATGGTTATTTCCCTGAACTCAAACCGATTACATTTAAATTTTTAGCATTTTCAAATGTAAAATATATGGAGTTTTCTTGAAGAGTTTTATTTGTATTATCATTATTCTTCAGTGAAAATATGTTACGAAATTTAATATAAAAATTTTAAGAACTGAAAGTTTGTTGAAATTAATAATTATATTTTCTGAATATAATCAGACAATCAGAGGGTTTTCTTTATCTTAATCTTTGCATGAAAAATTAGTAAACATATTTCCTCATATTTGTCAGCCCCCTTCCCCCCCCCCCCGATGGCTCTGGGGTAAATTTAAGGATTTATAATTCTCAAAATCGGGTTTCGATACCTGCGATGGACAGAGCACAGATAAGCCATTGTGGAAATTTTTGCTTAACAGCAAACAAAACATAAAATCATTTTTAATCCCTTTAAGACTTTATTACTAGATATAACCTTTGTCTTGCCAGATATATCACCTTTCCTATGTCGATACTGAAGTTAAATCTTGAATAAGTTCCTTACAATTTATTTTTCTTTCTAATTCCAGAACTGACTATCAGTCCACAACATGAAACAGAGAACGCCGGCGTGCAGGTAGAGTATTCTGTTTTGGAGCTTCTGTTTAATTCTTATTATTTCCCTTGACTTCGTACTTGTTACAGAAGTTAAGTATTAAAATTTCTGACTTCTCGTGTGTGTGTTTCGCGTTAATCTATATAAATGATACACTTGAGTTTGTCTGTCCGGAACTTTTCTCGCAAATTTCTCGATCAAATGCTACAAATCTCATATCGTTAGAAAGGCCATTGACTTTTCCGTTCAGAATCATCCTACCTGTTGTTTGCTTATTCAAACTTTTTAATGCAACGAATATGCTACATAATGGCACACTTTCATTGCCATCCGTTGTTTGTTTTTACTTGCAAAATGGTTCACACAAACAATACTTAACCCGCGTGTAATTTAAACACGCATTCAGATGTTTCTGCATATTCAGCTAAGTTTGCCTTCATTACAGCTTTACATTTACTTTACTTTCCAATAATTTAGCTTCAGTTCGTTTCAGAGACTGTCATAAACATCTTTTTGCTGCTTTTTATTTAGTACTGGTTTTATTCTTCGTTTTTATGAGTTTATTTGTTTCAGCTTGTAAAACCAGGTCATACACACACTGAACGCTCATAACTGTGTCATACTCTGTATGCTATTATATAACTTTCCTTTACTGTTTACTTTACGTGTAGTTTTATCAAATAAAGTTACGTCTACGTGAGTTTGTTTGTCTGACTGCGTAAAATTGTTTTTAAATAGGCCAGGATTTATCGATCTAGTGCATAATGTCTGCAAGAAAGCGTAGCTTAAATGCCGCGCGTGATAATGATAGAATAAGGAAAATTCAAATGAAGGTCATGAAAACTAACGTAACTGTTTATCGGGTCGCGGCCAGTTATACCTGATACGATTAACTATATAGTTTAGTTAACCCAATTTTTTTAGAGTTTTTTTTTCTGTCAAATATGTTTTATTTCTGTTTCATTATTTTTTCAGTGTTGTCATTTTTTGTAATTGTATGTAAGCATATACAACCTCTTGTGTGTGTTTTGTTTAAACGTTGTTGCATTTACTTGTGATGTAATACAAGATGTCAAAAAATTATAATCTCACATATGCACTTTTAATCTTTCTGGTGATACAATAAATATGATATTATGAATCAACTCCAGAATTAATAATATCATAAACCTTCATGAGTCAACACAAGTTGAGGACATCTTCATGACGTCTTGAGCCAACGCAAGTCTTTGACGTAAACATGATACCATGAGCCGTTAACATATATTGTTGATAACATTATCATGATGTCACAAGTCAACACAAATAACTAACAATGCATCATGACTTAACACAAGTCTTTGATATCATCATTATATAATACCTCAACACATATTGTTTATATCATCATCATTTTGTTGAGTCAAAATAAATAATTAACATCATAATACGTAAAGACTCAACACAGATCGTTGACATAATCATGACATCATGAGTCATCACATCTCGTTTACATTGTCATCATAACGTCAAGACTTTTTTATATTATACTTTGAAAATTAAAAGTTTCTAAATCTTATTGATTCTTACAGTGAAATCAAAATCTTCAATGAAATTTTAAACCGGATATAGGCAAAATATGCGCTCGACTCACAATCTGAGGGTCGCGGGTTCGAATCCGCATCCCACCAAACATGCTCGCCCTTTCAGCCGTGGGGGCGTTATAATGTGACGGTCAATCCCACTATTCGTT